TTGCATCGTCAACAGAATGAAAAAAATCGACTTATTACTTAGTGATTGAAAATATTGGCTATCAAACCGTATCTTATAGCTCTTCTATCATATAGTAGACAGAACGACAGAATTTTTACCTATAGATATGTGCGCACGAAAGTTTACAATATTGCCCTCTATTTAAGATAAATTATGGCTAATGGTAAAAGTCCTCCAGTATGGGTGTATGCAGTTATTATTGGTGTGGCTATTGGTATTCTTTTACTCGTAATTCTTTTGCCAATGTCATTCTCATATTTGGACTTTTACGATTATGGATTTTTGAGACGACATACAACGGGCCGTGTTGATTTAAACAGAGTTTATTCTGGTGGACGATATTTGGTTGGCCCAGATTATCATTTTAAAAAATTTAAAGCCACTGCGCATCATGTTAATTTTAACCGTATTAGCGTTTTTACCACTGACAATTTGGAAGTTCATTTGACGATATCATTTCAATTTTTTCTTGTTAAAGATGATCTACCATTATTACATGCAGCCTACGATATTTATTATGAACCAATTATTGTGAGTAATGCAAAAGAAGCAATTATCTCATCATGCTCTCGATTTAGTACGGACGAGTTTATTGATAATCGAGACAAAATATGGAAAGAAATTTACTTTGGCGTTAAAAGACAATTAGGTATTAATAAATTGAAAATTGTCGTTTGACCTCATCACTCACTACCTCTTGTTGTTCGTTCTAGGTGGTACTTGTTGTCTTCCCAACTGTAAAACATGTACAAATTGTCCTATCCATGAACAATGTGTTCCAAATTGTACACCACGTTCCACACAGTGTACAAAAGATGAAAAAGGCTTTTTTGCCGAAGTCAGATATTTACAACTACACGGTAAGTTTTACTGATCATTTGCTTTCTTTCAGCTCACATTTGACGCTCTATGAGATTTTATATTGTTCAGTGAAAGTTTAGACACGTAGTGAGTTGAGGTCAGACAGTTGATTCAACGGAAAGAACAATGAACTCGAAGCCTATCACATTATTTTTATTCTATTGTATTGAATCGATTTTAGACAGGTTTGTTGATTTATTCTTGTACAATAACGTGAAAGAGACTATGTTCTAGATCTAGTATCGGCCATTAACAAGGGATTGTTCATAATTGATCTCAAACAGTAGATAAGTCGCACTTTCGTTAAACGAGAACTTGAGGAATTTATCAACAGCATGAAAAGAGACTTATTGTTTATTGTTTAGATATCGATGTACCCGAACGTGTTATGGAACGTCGTTTATTAGGTTTGGTTACAGACTTACAAAAGGAACGAGAAGAATTTTTAAATCTTGAAGCTCTGTATAAAAAGGGCACAGATATTAAAACAAATCAGTTTCGCAATAATGCTACACAAAGTATTGCGGTAGCTGAAGCTCAAGCAAAATTAGCTCGTGATCAAGCAACAGCTGATAGTGCCAAAACCGTTGAATTAGCTCGAGTCGAAAGTTTAGCATTTATGTGTGATAAATTAGGTATTAGAGAGCCACAACATATATCATCATTGCAGTACTTGAGAACATTAAAAGATTCAACGGAGAATGTTAAATTCAGTATTGACTTTAGTCATGCCATTGCACAACAACAAACACAACTACAAGCACAACCAAAATGAGACAAAGATTTTATATGTAGGCACAGAATACCAAGAAAGACAACGCTCTTAACATTCTGATAAAAGTATTTTGTATTTGTTTTATATCGTATTTTTCAATTTCAACTCACTTTAATCTGATAAACTAAGAGAATTAGCTAGACCTTGATGCGGCCATTACAGCCCAATCTGTCAATAAAGGTCTTTACTAGAAACTGGAATTGAATGAAGCGCAGGCAAGACATAGGATTGGTTGAAAATTTCTTTCGATCAATCATATGTCTT